ATGATCATAATCACAAAAATAGGGGGTGTAATTGTTAAGTAGAAGGGGGGTGTAAAACAAGAAAGGGGGCGCAAATGTTAAGAAGATTAATTTGGTCGAATTTTCGACCTAACAGGCTGCAGCAAATTTTGAATTTTAAATAGACCACTCTAGTGCTAATTTACAGCTTTTTATAGGGGGGGTTCTTTAGTAGATACCATAGGGGGCTATTGTTAATTAGATCCACCAATTTTTCTCTACACTGGAACACCAACTTTTTTATTTAATTTTGGTATCCGAATCACGACGGTCTTTTTTGAGGTGTCCAAAGTGTGGCAAAAAAATATCAACTTACTCCATAATGACTCAGCGCATTATACCGCTCGCACTCGAGTCGAATGTTAGTGCATTAGCTACTTGCCAAACCGGATTAAGGACAGACGTAAAGATAGAGAGCAGCCGTAGCCGAGTGGGTTGCGCACACGTCTCTCAAAACGAAGGTCATGCATTCGATTCTCACTTCGGATACTGTTGAAGGGGTCCCAGTGTCATCCGTCTCCTCAAAGTGGGACCGGCTGCAGCGAAATGGATGACATCTCCTTCCCCCACGATTGGTTTGGCACCGAAGCATACATAGAGGTGAAGATGCGATTCAGTATTTGATGCCAAAAGCCTTGAATTTGGAAAAACTTTATTGCAAACTTCAAATCTCAAACTACATTCTGTTTTTATCAAAATGAAGCCCTTAAGGTTCCGGCTTCTTTTAAAATTAAAAAAAATTTTGCTGAAGAATTTGATAAAATTTTAATTTTTCTTTATCTCTTAAATGATTTTTTATTTTAACACTCCTTCCAAACCCATACGCGCGGAAGACTTTCTAGAAATTTATATTTTTTTGCCTCTGTTAAACTGCTTTAAGAATTCTGTTGCTTGCCTCAATCCACTTTGGAAAAATTACGCCTGCAAATCGGAAAACAGTTTTTTTTCCAGTTTAAAAATTAGTTTGACAGCATCACGAAGGCTTTTCTCAGCTTATTTTGGTAGTGCAATTGTACATTAAGTTCGATATACTAAAATAAATCATATTGCGTGGAGATAAAGACCACACTTGAGGCGATAAATTTTATTGGTTTGATTCCGGCCAGGGGCAAGATTTTTTTAGTGTGAGAAATCTAATTTTCGGACTATCTTTAGTCTCATTTTTTTGAGAACACACTTTCCAAATCCTGCCATTTTTGTCCGGTTGAAGCAACTTTTTCGTAGAAAACAAATTTTGTTTTTCATCATTTTTTTTATTTTTGATAATTTTTGTGTTTTCGCCGAATTGGATTTTCTTGCTTCAACTTTTCCAGTTTTTATTTTATCCGCTTAGTGACCATAATATGGCTTAATTTGAAAGGTGAATATAGAATAAGTAGCGTGTTTCAAGAGAAATTAAGACGGCTTACAATATTCAGCTGCAGAAAATTATAGCTCAACATTTTAAATTGACAATATCTTTGTAACTTAACAGGCATCCACCCAAAAATTTTCGGTTTTATTGCCATCCAGTGAATTTTGTAAGTTCATATCTATTTTTGTTACTCTTCATGCTTTCTCAACGTGTATCTAACTACAGACAAATGCAATAATTTTTAGTTTCAGCCGTTTATTTTTCAACTAATTTAGTTTGCTAGTTTTATATATAAGTTTTTGGTTGCATTTTGCATTGTTTGGGTGGTTTTGGGGAACCTAGACATCTTCATGAGTTTTGTGCAGTTTTTTTTTTCTTAAAAACATTGTTTTTCTCGACGGGTGTCTGGAAAGTCTTTTCCACCATCCTACCGCATGTTTAAGTTTATTCCGAAAGTAATCAATTTTTTTAATTGGTTTAGTTTGAGTAATTTCCAATGAAATTTTATTTCAATGAATTTTTATTCGATATAAATCAAAACAAATAAAAAAAACTTGTAAATCTAGTTTCTTGTCCAATTTAGAAGCTTTTTCTCAGCTTGTTTGTATTCTATCGCATGTACTGCAAAGCTCCGCTTGCACCTGCATCAGAAATATGATTGCACTTGATAGAAGAATTTCGAAAAAAAAATGTTCGCGTTTTCTTTGTCGCTTTTCGATTATTGATTTTGCAATAAAGTCCGTGATTTTTAGTTTTTAGTTTAGTCTTACAAATGTGGCGAGTCCCCCTCCCACAAAAAGGGACGAGCCCCCCTGACTGGATTAGGTCGATGGTTTTGAATCAATTTTGGGTTGAAACCATCCTCCGAGGATGCAGGGGCTGGGAAACTTTCAATTTTTCTCTGGATCAGTTCAAAAACGCCTAGCATGGAACACACGAAAGCCAAAAGTTTGGTGGAGGAATGGCACAGAAATTTTCAGATGGGGATGTGGTGTACTGTACAAGCATTGCCATTCAAAATTTTTCCAATTACTGAGAAAAGAACAAATCCTGTCGGATAAAAAATAATTGCAAATAACTGCATGATAAAGTGCCGCCAAGGTGCCAAAATACAATAAAAGCCCAGCCAACTTAATTGAACTCCTTAAACATTATCGCAGTATTACTAATCTGAAGCAACTTGATGGTCTCTCGTTCAATTTTGATGTTTAGTTTCTTTACTCTTCAATTTAAGCGTTTCATCGTAACTCTGTTGATCTGATCAATTTTTTAGCCGTACTAATTTTCGCTTGCTACGAGTTGTCACGTGCTGCGAATAGTAGCCTTTTACGAATGCTACGAATTTTCACTTGCGATGAATTGTCGCTTGCGATGTATTGTCACCCTACCAAAAACGCATCGAAAGAAAATCAAGTTCGAAACATAAAATTCTCTGAGGCTACGATGTTCTAACCCAGAAATCGCGACGGAGAACTACACTGGCATCGTGCCATCTGAACCTCAGTAATAGACAGTTTGTTGGTGCAATATAGGCATTTTAAAAAAAACAGTTTTCGAAAATTTTGTCTTGATTTTTCAGCCCCTAGCTAATATTTATTTTCAAGTGATTTAATCTGGGCCTGCTATGGAAGTATTGGGGAAAACACGATTTCATTAATTCAAATTCAAATAATTGATTTTTTATGAGCATTAGTTCGTCGCGCTAAAATCCTTGAAATTTAAGTTGAGAAATGGCGATAAATGCAGGGGCGGATGTAAGATTTTCTCGAGGGGGGGGCAGATTTTCAAAAAAAAAATCAAAAATTTTGTCGACCTTTTTTTAGGTCGACCCAATTGATTTTCTGAGCCTTCCCAAATCACTATAAATAGACCCATTTTGACCAAATTTATCTGCGCCGCCGGCAAGTTTTTGAAAAAACAGGCCAAAAAAGGCGTTTTTAGGCAGTTTTCGGAATTTTTTGACCAAAAAATTGAGTTTTTTCGGCGCGCGCTCCTCCCTCAGAAAGTGGTGTATATTGGCGCCGAAGGGTACTTTGCCAAAAATATATATCTCAAAATAGTACAAATGGGGACTCTTTGGTTCGGCAGTGGGTCGAAACCCTGAGAGGGGGTCCGCCCCCTCCCCCCTATATCCACTACTGGTAAATGTATCCAGTATTTTTCCCATTTTGTCATTTTTCAAATCCTATTAATTTACAAAACATAATTCAGGTAGACATTTTGTTCTTTTCAGTTTTTATTTATTATTCAGAGGATTGGTGGTGAAGTGCATAATATCTCTTCTTCTCATTCGAAAGGTCGGAAAGGTCGCTTGTTTGTGATCCACCAAGATTTGGAACCAATTCGTGAGTTATCAGCAAAAAAAAGAACAATAAGAACTGGTTGAAATTTTTGGGCAAGAACAGGAAAATAAAACGCCTCAAGCAGGAATGATTAATTCGTAAGCTGTCCTTTCCCTTGTAGACAACTGGTATTGAAAATTTTATCTAAGTTTAATAGCATAAATCTAAATAAGGCAGCTCGAATCGGGTTCAAGCCGGAGATGCTATGGCAGATTTTGAACACTGTTTTTCAAATTAGCTTTGATTTAAATAATTATCGTTCGTGTTGTAGATGGAAAAAAAACTGAAATTAAAAAGGTCAAGCATTTGTTTGAGCAGCCAATTTTAAAACAATCATAGCGTTACAAAAACATTTTGTTAATCAAAGTAGACAAAGGTCGAAACGTAAGGATAATTAATTTGTTGAAAAACTTCATAATAAAAATCTTCCGTTTTTTTTCAGATGCAAAGTTATCTTAAGCAAAAACAACCAGAATTAACAAGAATCAAACTTTCTGGCTATTGTTAGACTTGAAATAATGAACACGAAAAACACTTTTTCTCAGATTTTCCCACACGCTATTAAAAACAAAATGATAATTCTTGTCTATTAAAGAACAAATAGCATGCCTCAAATGAATTTTGAGTGAGTTCGGAGCATGATTAACTCTCAGTCTACGCTACGAGTTTAAAAAATTGTCTATATAGCGCGTGTAAACTATCCTGAATACTACAAAAAATTACAATAAAGTTGAGTCGAAAAAAAAATCTGTAATTTGGCAACGAAGTCGACAAGATCCGTGATGTGGCCACCAAGCGGAAAAAACTTCAGCAGCAAACAAAAGTACGCCATTTCAATTTCTATCGAAAAAAATGTCAATTGCAAACATGCTAAAAAAAGGTCAATCGGAACTCGAACCCCTAACCTTTGGGTGCAAAAGCGACGGCGTTACCTCCAGGTCAAGTGTGAATGAACCTGCAACTACTTAAATTCAAAAATAAAGCAAGTAAGATCTGTTAGAAAAGTTGTTTACGGGAAAAAAGTCTAGTTCCAGATTAAAAGACACTTGCTTTCGCAATGTAATGAAACTGAAGACACTGAAAAATTGTTTGACTTGAGGTTGAAAAAGAGCTCGTCATAACGCAAATAACCGAAACCACTCATCGGATATTCAATGCAAATAATGTCATCTGGTACTAAAATCTAGGTATATGGGAGCCAGCACTGGGAATTGTTGGGCTCCACTCAATAGCAATATGCTTCTTCAAAGATTTAAGATAACTCAATATCAAAGCCAAACACCAAACATTTAATCACAATTGGCAATCCTTTATGGTGTATTTGGTGCCACTTGAACTGTTAGAAGTCAACGACACTAAGGTTAAATATTCTTCGTCGAAAGTCTTCAAAATGGTTCGATTCAACAAACCCGATGCTGATTCTGTTTTCCGCTCTCCTCTCGGTCCTTACGACTACTCGCAGGAAAAATGGGATTCCCTCACTTCTTTTCTAGAAGATATGTTCAGACGGAAGCATCCTACAAGTCAAATATTCGAGGTCGCTTCAGGAATGACAATGACGTACAGTGAGCTTCTAGAGGTAGCAGAGACGGTTGCGGCTAGTTTAGCACTTGAAGGTAAAATCGTTCATGTAGCGCATGCCGAAATTTTCTAATTCATACAATTGACGTAATTCAAATAACTTCAACCAAAATCACCTGCCAAAAAAAAAAAAAAAAGTTTCTCATAACTAACTAAAATCAATTTATTCTCTTTTACGCTTTGTAACCTTTCAAACTCATTTGACAAATTCAAAATACAGACGATGCAATCAATGTTTCTGAAAAAGAGGCAAAATCGTATTTCACTCAAAATTTTGTGGTCCAATAAATTCATATAATTTCAGATTGATTAAGATATAGGGCTCAATTCATTGTGTTCTCAATAATTCTCAAATCGTTAAAAACATAATATTTCACGAAATCTGAGGCAACATTTCTTGGATTTTGTTTTCACCCACCACTAGATATAAATGCATCCCAATTATAGTGAAATTGCTCAAATCAGAATAAAATTTCATGCTGGGTTGAACTTAGCCGATAAAATTGCAAAAATGATACCCAACAACAAAATTTTTCCCAGCTGAAGATTTACAAGTTGAGCTTGAGGCCGGATTCCAACCCAGATCTTTGTTGTTCTCAGCATGTGCGTTACTTTTACGCTAGCCCACCAATACTTTTAAGCTTGATGTGCCAATTAGATAAATTTATGAAATCTGTGAGCGGGAAGTTTTCGATAAAGAAGTCTGCCTAAAACCCAGTTGCAATACCATAGCTAATAATCGCAAGGCTAAAAAATAATATGACGCTTCCTGGAGCTAAAATATGTCATTACTCTCTAGTTCCTATTTTTTGGGGCCCGATACCTGATTTTGCACAAAATTAAAAGACCCAGCCTAAACCCTCCCCCCTCCGAAACAACAATTGCTTTTGGATTTCAGAAAAATAGCAAACAGACTACCCACAAATAAAAAAGCCGCCTTTAAAAGTTTGAAAAACGCAAAAAATTTATTCAGAATATACAAAACAACAAGATTTCGAGCATTATAGTCCGGGCATACTATCAAACCCATCAGAAGGCTATCAGAATATGAAGATTTTTAGTCGCCTTGCAAGGACCTCCTCCCTCCCCCGATAATTAAGCAACAAAGATACGACTACTTTCAGGTATTCCCCCGAGAACCATCGTTCACATTGTGTGCGAGAACAGTTTTGATTGGATAACGACTCTGTTCGCATGTTATTTGAATGACTGCATTGTTGTCGCCAGCAACTCAAAGTCACCGTGGCCAGAATGTGCTCGGAATATAGAAACAAGTTGTTCTACCGTTCTTATTTTGTCGGCAAAATGCTTCGCAAGGTATACTTTTTTGATTATTGATACTACCATATTAATAATGTTTTGATGTTGGAAAAAAATCTTATTTTTGGGAATCTGAAAAAGTCAGATTTGAAACCATAAATTACTCCTAATCAGTGGGGATTTTCTCAAACATGGGAAACTTGATCATTAATAAATATGCCGACGAAGGCACCTTAGGAGAAATTGTAGCGTTGGTCATGCCAAAAACCGATGCCGTAAAGTGGTATCAAAAGGACGAACCCTGGGTGGCCAGAGTTTTGGGTTCTTGAGAGAAGGGACTTCCTCCCGAATTTTTCTGTTATTACGGATTTCTTAAAATACACCAGAATCGGCTTCTCGTGTTGCCTCCAAAGGCTCCTTTAGAAACATATCTGATAGAAAAGATGTTATCTTTTTCAGGCTCAAAATTTTTATTTCAGGCTCAAAAATGAAATAGACCACCCTTTCTTGACTCATATAATTGACATTGAGCCAAATTCAGCCAAAGAGAAATACGACCCACAGTTTAACTTCACTCGAAGAGAGACGCTCAGATCTCCCGTGTACAACAGAGAAGAACTGCAGGACATTTGCAGCATGTTATTCTCTTCAGGAACTTCAGGAGTTCCGAAATCGATCAAAATAGACCGGAAGAGTCTGATTAGCGGTTGCTTGACAAATACGTTTCCAGATTTTGCTACACAAACTCACCAGGATGTTACCCTAGTTGCTCAACCCATTGCCCACTTTGGTGGACTAACGATCTTCTTTTTTTCTGCTTTCCAGGGCGCAAACTTGGTTATCACTGACTATCCAGGATCAACTGGGCTTCTTCAGGTTATCCAAAAGTACCGGATAACTTTTTTCTTTGCAGTTCCGTCAGTTTTGCACTCTTTGGCTAAAATAGATAATTTGGAAAGTTTCGACTTAGCATCCATTCGAGTTATTTTAACCGGCGCTACAAGTCCTAACTTTGAAGTTATAAAAACTTTGCAGAAAAGGAGTGGGAATGAAAATGTGACAATAAAACATGGATACGGTGCCACGGAAACGTACGGTACAACCTTTATGACGAATGAAAATTTCGAGACATGCATTGAGTCCATAGGATTAGGCTTGCCAGGGGTCAACTTCCGAATCGCCGATTTGAAGGACCCTACAACATTAATAACAGAACCTAATCTTGAGGGTGAATTACAAACCAGGCAGTGTCATCCTTATTTACTATATTTTAACGACCCCGAAAAATCAGCGACAGCTTTGACCGACGATGGTTTCTACAAAACGGGGGATTTGGCTTATCTAAATGAGGATCTAAATGTCATGATCTCTGGACGAATCAAAGACGTGATCAAATTTCGTGGGTTTTCAGTTTCACCAGCTGAAATTGAGGCAATTTTAACGCAGCACCCGTTAGTTCAAGAGTGTTCAGTTGTCGCAAAACCCAATGAAGCAAACGGCGAAATCCCAGTTGCTTTTGTCGTACTGAAGTTTCCGGATACAGCTGGCACAAACGAAGTCGAAAAAGAGCTGATCGCATATGTGGCAGAGTCGTTGGCCGAATTCAAGAGGATCCATCGTGTTTATTTCATTGATGACATTCCAAAAAATGGCAGCGGAAAAATACTCAAGCAAATGCTAGTCAGGAAATTCCAGAAAGAATGAAAAAAACTTTCCGTTTTTTTTGAGGTCACTGATTACACTTTTTGTATCCAGAAAAATAATTTGTATAACTTTTAATGTCTGTTGCCTTATATAATCTCGCGAAAATACAAGGTAAGAAAGAAAGACGGCTAACCTGTTGCTGTGCAAGTTGCAAAAGGTATGATCATAATCACAAAAATAGGGGGTGTAATTGTTAAGTAGAAGGGGGGTGTAAAACAAGAAAGGGGGCGCAAATGTTAAGAAGATTAATTTGGTCGAATTTTCGACCTAACAGGCTGCAGCAAAATTTGAATTTTAAATAGACCACTCTAGTGCTAATTTACAGCTTTTTATAGGGGGGGTTCTTTAGTAGATACCATAGGGGGCTATTGTTAATTAGATCCACCAACTTTTCTCTACACTGGAACACCAACTTTTTTATTTAATTTTGGTATCCGAATCACGGCGGTCTTTTTTGAGGTGTCCAAAGTGTGGCAAAAAAATATCAACTTACTCCATAATGACTCAGCGCATTATACCGCTCGCACTCGAGTCGAATGTTAGTGCATTAGCTACTTGCCAAACCGGATTAAGGACAGACGTAAAGATAGAGAGCAGCCGTAGCCGAGTGGGTTGCGCACACGTCTCTCAAAACGAAGGTCATGCATTCGATTCTCACTTCGGATACTGTTGAAGGGGTCCCAGTGTCATCCGTCTCCTCAAAGTGGGACCGGCTGCAGCGAAATGGATGACATCTCCTTCCCCCACGATTGGTTTGGCACTGAAGCAAAGCTGCACTTCGCAAACGCAGGTAAAAAACACGAAAACTAGCCAAAAAATTGTTATAAGAAAACGTAAAATGAAGTCTTCAAAATTAAAACTTTTGCTCAGATATGAAAATTAAAATTTTTACGACTAGAAGATTTTAGTCCTCGCATCTGTCTCACGGGACGCTGAAAAATAACTAACACTAGCTAACAATACAGCAGCTACATATGTTATTAAGTTACCAACGCTATGCAGCAAAAGTCGCACCAAACATAAGTGGACACAAACTTTGCATGTAAGAATTTGGCATAATAAAAACTAACGGCATCCACAAAAACTTTTCAAGTAATAAATTGGAAAACATAAAGCCAAATTATGAACACAGAGGAAAAACTGAGCTACGCACCACTTGCGATACAACACAAGAAAATCGAAAAAAAATCGAAAATGTTGAAAAAACTAGATCTATCATAATGAATAAGTCTAGTTTTGAAACAAAAATATGCCAAATCAATAGGTGAGTCGGAACATAGTTTACCAAGTGGTAAAAAATACTTTGGCAGAAATCTTTTGAGCCGAAAAAAAATCAACCAAATTTAGAATTCATAAAAAGTCCCACTCGCCCTCAAAACAATCAAAAACATTATTTGCTCGTCAAATAAAACAGTACGAGACAACTAAGCCGATATAATATAGCCCGAAGCCTATAACAAGTTATTAAGCCCCCGCGCTCTCAGAACGCAGACACGCGCACGCACACACACACACACACACACACACTTTTTTCGTTCGTCAAAGGACGCGATATGAGGCCGATTAAGCCGATATAACATCAGCCGAAACGTATCAAGCCGAAACAAAAGAAAAAAAAAGAAAAAAAAAGAATTTCTTCTAGGATGTTTAGCATTTTGATCAATCCCGAGGTGAGCGTTGAAAATGTTTCAATTGAAACGACTCAAAATGAGGCCACTAAGCCAATGAAATATAGGCTGCAATCATTTGGGCAGAATAAAGCGTTTAATCGAAAAAAGAGAAAACGATCTCAAGGTTTAAGAAATACAAGCAACAGCAGATTTAAATCAGAACACGAAAAACAACTATAATGTTAAAGTTATCAAAGAGCCGATTTAGTGGGATGGTAAAAACAAAGCGGAAACTAAGAGGACAAAACGTAAATCGAAAGCGACGAAGTCGAAAATTCAAAAAAAAATCATAAAGAAAAACCAACTTGAACTGCGAATTTAATGGAAAAACACTAGTAAGGATGCACAGTGCTGCATGCATATATGGATGCATATACTGCATGCATTTAAGGACACCAACAAGAATGCACAGTGAAGGCACAATAAGAAGTGAGCACAAATATACGCGTGTACTGCATGCAGGTCGACATCTGTGGACCAAGTTGTTTGTGGGAAAAAAACTAGTTCCCGATTGCGATACCTTTGCTATCGCAAGAAAATAATTTATGCATTTCAAAACCGCTAGCGTGGAATGCACTTTTAGTGCTTCGAAATTTCGACAACTCATAAAAACAGTATACATTGGAAATAACATTTGCATTAAAATGACACGAAAAACGTGACAACTCGGAAACTAATATCAATTGAGCAGTCGCAACTAGACGAAAGATTTGAAACTCCTCTTTTAAATTTCCAGAAAATTCAAATTTAAGCTTTCTACACCAAGCTGAGCTTCGCGCCACTTGCGATAGCTCAGCTATTTGAAGGTTTGCAATTTGAAGCAGCAAAACACTCAAGAACTACCCAAAAAGACTTCGAACATTGTTATCGTTGAAGAAACAACTAAAAAATCATAAAAAACGAAAATCAAATTTTCTTTATGTTTAAACATATGAAAAACTTTAAAAGAGTTCCAAATTGCGTTGGATTTGAGCATTCAAAAATTTAAAGTTGCTGAAAATCAACCAAAACTGTTCGGCAAAATCTTATTGGAAAATCTTGCCAAACCGGATTAAGGACAGACGTAAAGATAGAGAGCAGCCGTAGCCGAGTGGGTTGCGCACACGTCTCTCAAAACGAAGGTCATGCATTCGATTCTCACTTCGGATACTGTTGAAGGGGTCCCAGTGTCATCCGTCTCCTCAAAGTGGGACCGGCTGCAGCGAAATGGATGACATCTCCTTCCCCCACGATTGGTTTGGCACTGAAGCAAAGCTGCACTTCGCAAACGCAGGTAAAAAACACGAAAACTAGCCAAAAAATTGTTATAAGAAAACGTAAAATGAAGTCTTCAAAATTAAAACTTTTGCTCAGATATGAAAATTAAAATTTTTACGACTAGAAGATTTTAGTCCTCGCATCTGTCTCACGGGACGCTGAAAAATAACTAACACTAGCTAACAATACAGCAGCTACATATGTTATTAAGTTACCAACGCTATGCAGCAAAAGTCGCACCAAACATAAGTGGACACAAACTTTGCATGTAAGAATTTGGCATAATAAAAACTAACGGCATCCACAAAAACTTTTCAAGTAATAAATTGGAAAACATAAAGCCAAATTATGAACACAGAGGAAAAACTGAGCTACGCACCACTTGCGATACAACACAAGAAAATCGAAAAAAAATCGAAAATGTTGAAAAAACTAGATCTATCATAATGAATAAGTCTAGTTTTGAAACAAAAATATGCCAAATCAATAGGTGAGTCGGAACATAGTTTACCAAGTGGTAAAAAATACTTTGGCAGAAATCTTTTGAGCCGAAAAAAAATCAACCAAATTTAGAATTCATAAAAAGTCCCACTCGCCCTCAAAACAATCAAAAACATTTTTTGCTCGTCAAATAAAACAGTACGAGACAACTAAGCCGATATAATATAGCCCGAAGCCTATAACAAGTTATTAAGCCCCCGCGCTCTCAGAACGCAGACACGCGCACGCACACACACACACACACACACACACTTTTTTCGTTCGTCAAAGGACGCGATATGAGGCCGATTAAGCCGATATAACATCAGCCGAAACGTATCAAGCCGAAACAAAAGAAAAAAAAAGAAAAAAAAAGAATTTCTTCTAGGATGTTTAGCATTTTGATCAATCCCGAGGTGAGCGTTGAAAATGTTTCAATTGAAACGACTCAAAATGAGGCCACTAAGCCAATGAAATATAGGCTGCAATCATTTGGGCAGAATAAAGCGTTTAATCGAAAAAAGAGAAAACGATCTCAAGGTTTAAGAAATACAAGCAACAGCAGATTTAAATCAGAACACGAAAAACAACTATAATGTTAAAGTTATCAAAGAGCCGATTTAGTGGGATGGTAAAAACAAAGCGGAAACTAAGAGGACAAAACGTAAATCGAAAGCGACGAAGTCGAAAATTCAAAAAAAAATCATAAAGAAAAACCAACTTGAACTGCGAATTTAATGGAAAAACACTAGTAAGGATGCACAGTGCTGCATGCATATATGGATGCATATACTGCATGCATTTAAGGACACCAACAAGAATGCACAGTGAAGGCACAATAAGAAGTGAGCACAAATATACGCGTGTACTGCATGCAGGTCGACATCTGTGGACCAAGTTGTTTGTGGGAAAAAAACTAGTTCCCGATTGCGATACCTTTGCTATCGCAAGAAAATAATTTATGCATTTCAAAACCGCTAGCGTGGAATGCACTTTTAGTGCTTCGAAATTTCGACAACTCATAAAAACAGTATACATTGGAAATAACATTTGCATTAAAATGACACGAAAAACGTGACAACTCGGAAACTAATATCAATTGAGCAGTCGCAACTAGACGAAAGATTTGAAACTCCTCTTTTAAATTTCCAGAAAATTCAAATTTAAGCTTTCTACACCAAGCTGAGCTTCGCGCCACTTGCGATAGCTCAGCTATTTGAAGGTTTGCAATTTGAAGCAGCAAAACACTCAAGAACTACCCAAAAAGACTTCGAACATTGTTATCGTTGAAGAAACAACTAAAAAATCATAAAAAACGAAAATCAAATTTTCTTTATGTTTAAACATATGAAAAACTTTAAAAGAGTTCCAAATTGCGTTGGATTTGAGCATTCAAAAATTTAAAGTTGCTGAAAATCAACCAAAACTGTTCGGCAAAATCTTATTGGAAAAAAACGTACTGCCCAAATAGTAGCCACGAAAGCCGAATCGAAAGCTAAAAATCATACTATCGATAATAAAGCGTAATATCAATCTTTCATTACTATGCAAACAACTAGATCTATCATACAAAAAATTATATTGAAAACAACATGCTCAGACAACAGAATACGAAAATAGCATCGGAAGAAAACTTACCAAATTGTAGCAAAACAGAAATTACCTCAATTCAAAAATTATTTTAAAAAATTGAGTCTCACTTACCATTAGATCACGCACACACACACAAAAACATTTTCGGTCACAAAACCGACAAAACTGAATAAATTCAAAGAAAAATAGAAAAACGAAATTTTAATAAATCGAATTCGTAAAATTACAACCAATTTTTAAAAAATTTCGATTCGGCCAGACTTTTAAAATGCTGAAACACTTAACGCAACTCAACTACAGTGAAAATTAATTACAGGAAAAAAAATATTTTTTTAGATCTGGCAACTAAGCCGACAAAATATATGCAGACAAATAGGCAAAAAAATTTTGAACCGGAGTATTTACTGTATGAAAAAAGCAGGTGCTGGTCAGATTCGAACCCAGTACCGTTGCCGCCCCAGGCTTATTCTTTACTATAGGCTAAGTGTGTCACAGACACAAAGAAATTTGAACTCGTAAGGAACCAAGGTACCACTAGGATTCGATGGGTACTGTGACCAAAGTTAATTTTGGTGAAAAAAGTCTATTACCCGACTGCAATACCCTTGCTTATTGCAGGGGTAAACAACACTTCCAACATTAAAATCGCTTACAGCACAAACAAAATCAGTGATATCGTAACTAAGCCGACAATAATTGAGCAGACAAACGAAACTTTGACTATTCAATTGTTTCCGCAAGCCATTTTTAATTC